TTGAGATCGAAGCTGACCATGAAATCCTTCAACGTTATCGCTCGGTTGTTTCAGTCGTGAGGATGCGAGGCATAAACTATTATTGATTATCCTCGCATTGTTTCGAAGGAATCCACCGTTCGAACTTTGAGATGTCCAAATTGAAAGAATTTCATGCTCTGGTGAACCTTTAGCCGACCATTCCCACAGAGGACAAAGTCTCGTGCCTTTTCTGCAACACATCTTAGACCAATTTTTTTCGTGATGCCACAATTTTGCACCTCAATGCGTACACGGTTCCCGATCGCCAATGCCAAACGGCTCAACAGTGCTAGCGTTCCCAAGGATTGCGGCCGTATTATCAACGGCTACATACGTTGTTGCAACATGTGCAGATGAAAGTGCATTAAGATCAGGAATCTGTATGTCATGTGCTTCATTCATTTCTTGTTCACATCTATGCGGATCACAATTTTCAAGGTTGTTCATTGCATTTCGATTTGCGAAAGACATGTGTCGTAATTGACTTCCCCGAGGAGAATGACTCCTTGATTGTGCATGGTCGGTCCCTTGAATTTGATGAATGATACTTACTGTAAACGGCCTTCTCCTTACACGGCGTGCAAAAAAATTGTAGGTTGCACGTAAATCTGTTTTTCCCTTACGATTCTTTATGCGAGCTCTTAATGCACGCATACACATAACATGACTATTATTGTGTCTATGCTTCATTCGCATTGGTTTTGAAATTGGGCAAGATGCAGAACATGATGCATTCTTATTAATTGTATTTATTTTTCGTGCTCGTCTATGAACACGTACATTGTTCTCCAGATTTATTGTACGTGCGTCATGGCCTGATGAGATATAGTCAAGCATTGAAAATTTATTATTCTCAGTTAACGTGCCAAACTCCAAACGACGAACAATTTTATCAGCACGTCGTTGCCGAACCAATAACATACTGTAACGTCTGGCACGTCTTGCACGAATCGGTTTCCATAATAATAATCTTCTTCGCCGGTTCTCAAATCCGACAAATTTCCTCAACGATGTATTCGGCGAATTTAACGCGGTGTTGTAAAACAAAGATGCATGCGCACAAACAGGTGGCGCAGAATGAAAAGGTAACTCAACATTTGTCATTGGAGGACAAACGTTAGTCTGTGCGATTCGTTATTGGACATCAACAGTCAAAACTGATAATGATGAATTATGCACATCAATAGACTTTGAGGAAATATTTTTTATTTGAACGGATGTTTGACCAGTTGCAAGTGAATCCGTGTTCATCAGAACATTCGGATCAACCTCAATCGGTCGTTGTCTTTGCACGGTTAACGAGGGACTTCTATGACAACGAACACGATCAGAATGAACATGAACATTTCTTTGTGTCATTCTGTTGAAGAACATAGAACTTGCGGAATTTTGTGACAGTGCAATTGGTTTTGCAAAAGAAAAAGACTTATCACTAAGATGTTCTTCGGTAGAAGAATGCAGATCACCATATTCACTCACGATTGGTTGTTTTTCTCTACTATGAGCTTCCGCCACACCTTATGCATCCACTGGGTGTATTATAGCTCTTTTAGCTTGACGACTTTGCGAAGCTGGTCGTCCACGCTTGCGGCATATGTCTTGCGATGAGATCAATGTCCCACTCATAGAAGCACAGCAGGACACATCTAAGCATACATCAGATGCGAACGGATAGTTGGATGAGGAAGAAGGGAGATCGAACGAAGAGAAAATCAATCGAGTGGGAACAATTGATTCAGAAGGAGATTGACTATATTGTGCAATATTGGTGAGGACGATAAAGGATCGTTAACAGGTCTTTGACATCGTCGGAGGCATTTGCGGCGCCGCCGTGGAACTTCCGAAGACATATCCGCAGTAAAAGCAAAGGGTGCAACGCTAGATAGATTAGTGTTGGTTGAAACATCGCGTAAAGGTTCGTCCTCTGGCATATTAGTAGTCTAATGCACATGCATTTCTATATGAATATAAGAAAAAAAATAAGTTCAACGACATAAAAGTGAACAGATATAGAAAGTCGCGACTGAAAAATATGCCTTAGAAAACTGTCATATTTAAATTATAATGAAAAACAATATAATATGAAGTAATAAACAAAATAGGAAGAGAAGGTGTTGCGAGTACAAAAAAACAGTTGCAATGGCAAGCAAAAAAAACAAAAAAATTAACTGGTCAGTTCCAAAAAAAAAATAAAAAAAAATCACTTTGCATTATACAACCCAACCCCTTTAGAGAGGAGGGCATTGCAAACGGCCTTTGGGCCGAATTCCGCTTGGGTCTCGAGGTTGGTTTTACCTTTGTTCTTTCATGGAGTCAACGGCTACTCAATGCAAGCAAGAGGGGGGCGTTTTTCTCTTTGACGTATCGCTACGCAATAATTTCTTATCCGCTACTTTAGTCTATCGATTGACATCCATAAACAAATACAGGCAGCATACCAACCCCAAAATCAATTCAAGAGCTATGTTTTTTTATGCCTCATTCATAATCCTATACGCTCCTTGGTCTTTTCAGGGCCCCATGTAAAATAGACATATGTAGCTTGTTTGCCCACGATTGCCGTCCTCCGGCAAAGCCCATTTTCCTGTTCGTACAAATGCTTAATATGGATCGGAACTTCTTATGGCTCCGATCCAACGTAAGCGAGGCGGTTCCTACTTGCGGCCAACCTTGGGTATCCTAAGTCAGTCATCCATCCACATAAGAGTTGAAGAAGGTAAGTGGTCTGCACTGCCCTTCCGACCGCCGATCGCTAGGAAGTAGTCCATAGTACCCGTTCTCCTCGCCCGAGCACGAGGCCCGGATCTCAGAAGTAGGCGTTGGCTCCACCACAACAGCATTGTATCACCCCCATAAATGGGTCTATGCGGCGTACCGCATCTCTCCCCAGCCAACCTCGAAGGTCGTGGTTCTTAAGAGAGTCATTCCTAACGATCGAAGTCATGAAGGTCGGCGGCATCCCCACATGTCTTTTCCTCTCTTGCTTAGGCGACTTTGATGAGATAGGAGCAATGGGGGCAAGGAATAAGACTTCTTAGAACCGGCTTAGGTAAGAGGAGGTTATTCGGAATAGCATGGGCGCCTTGGGAAAAGGGCTAAGTTTATTAACGACTTTCTTCATTCTTATCGGATATGCTTCTTTCTCCAATATTCATTAAAAATATATGGTGTGACCCAACCCTTCCCATACTACTTATCATCCTTTGATGAGGTAGGAGCAAAGGGGCCATTGAGTAACACTTAATAGAACAGACTCAGGTGAGAGGAGGTCATTCGGGATAGCATGGGTGCCTTGGGAGAAGGGCTAAGTTTATTGCCGACGTTCTTCCTTCTTCTCGGAGTGGTTCCTTCTCCAATATTCATTACAAATACATGGTATGACCCAATCCTTTCCATGCTACTTATCCTTTCAAGTTCTAACAAATCGCATTCTTTTTCAAGTCGTTTCCTTTTTGAATTTGCAAGGATACTCACCTGATTGTTGTTCATTAATAAGTCCAATTATATAAAAAATGAACACATACAACAACATACAACATTAACAAAAATGTATTAACAAATATTAATATTTAAAGTACAATGAAAAAATGAGAGAAACAACAGATTGTAAAAAAAAAAAAAAAAACTAGGCTACCAGCCGGGCCGCTCGGGTCACCCTGTTTTTCCAGGCGGCCTGGTCGTGCAAGGACCAGGGAAGGTTACAGCAAAAGAAAAGAAAAAAAAAAACAAAAAAAAAACTATGTTATTCAAAAAAATAAATTGAACAATTTTTGCCTCGGGGTGACATCGAAATTCTTTAATGTAAAAACAAAAGAGAAGTCGGAGGAGCATAAAGAAAGCAGATTCAACGGCAAGCAGAAGGCCCAACGAAAGAACTTTGTATTTTTATTTTTTTTAATGGTGTTGCATGTCGAGAAAAAAAAAAAACAATACATACTCGAGCTCATTATTCCGCAAGGAATTTGGTATTAAATGAGAAAACAAAGATAGAAAAAAAGTCCGGGAAATAGTGTGTACGCAAGAGAGAGAGAGAGAGAGAGAGAGAGAGAGAGAGAGAGAGAGAGAGAGAGAAAAGGGGGGGGGGGGGGGGCACTTAGAGCAGTCTTCCCTTATTGTAAATACTCTTATGCGGCAAGGCATAAAATTGTTGATAGGTGAAAAAATGGCAAAACAAAGAAAATAAAAGAAAAAGATAGAGAGAGAGTGAGAGAAAGTGTGTGTGCAGGTATGCACGTGTATATGTATGTGTGTATGACAAAGAGAGAGAGAAATAGAGAGAGAGCGAGAGTCAAATAAAAAGAGAGAAAGGAGAGAGAAAGATAGAAGATCTCTTAGACAAAAGTCAAGCGTCATAATTCAAATTTATAAATAGTTATTATCATCGTTTACAAAAAAAAAAAGATCGAATGATTACATATTGTCTTCTTCTCTCGCTCTAAACATAAAAACGACATTAGAAATATAGTAATATTTCAAATTTTCTTAAAGCTTACACCTGAAATCCTAAGCCCCTTGAGTTTTTATCATCTACCTATCTAACAATACATCAAATCTTGCGCTTACAGTGGGAACAATAAACAATAATTTTCTCCCTCCTATTTATAGCTCCCTTATCCTTTTGCAACTACTGTCATCCCCGTACCCTACATCCTCCCCCTCCTTCCTCTCCTCCTTCCTCTTTCACTCTTGTTACTTCTCTTCCTCTCAATGGCGAATTCAACAATAATGAAATATCACTCTATTCATCTTCCTCTGCGAATACACGAAGTTGTCTCCTCCTTTCTTCCATCGCAAAGTTGTCGTTGTCATTGACCTTACTATCTCCATCGGGATAAATGTTTGTGTTCCCATCGCATTTCGGTTTAACAACCGAGAGTTCATTTATCCTTGCAAAGTCCAATCGTGCCCAATATGTTCGACGACATCTAGGACATTGGCGTTTCAAAGATTCCACCAATGCAATCATAGTCTCATTGAGTCTTTTTTCATGTTCTTTATTCATGCTTGCAAGAACATTCAACTCTTTCTTCACATTGCTCAACTCCTCCATAAATTGTTTTGGTGAATGAGCTAGCACGACGTCGGCAAGCAATTTCCTAAGCTGGTACACCTGCTCATTATGACGCTGAGCCCAATAAAACTTGGAGTGGTAATCCCACTGGTCACCGAATTTGTCCACAAACACAGCATCCATCAACTCTTCGCGTGCCTCCTTATACAATTAGCCAAGATTAATTACCGTTGCCCTCATCTGGTTGTCGCTCATAGGAAACTTCATGGCATTTTGCACCTCCCACATTGCATTTCTATGCGCCAGCTCAAAACCAACAGTTCGAAGTGAATGTAACATCGCAATCAGATGTCTTTTCGGAAGAGCCTCCAGAGTTTCATCTAATGAAAACTCGAAGACTGAATTTTTAGAAGATGGATCTGCCACTGCGAGGCCACGACATGACACCAATCTCCTCAATGCACATTCCGCCTTTTCGAGTCGCCGACGCAAACCATCACACTCTTCCAGCAGATAGGGATAAACTTGGGTGCTAAGCTTAGCAATCTCATCAATCAAATCATCTCGAATCTTAGACCGCATTCGAGAACGAATCCCCATCTCCATGTCCATGTCAAGTTTTGCCTCCTGTTTGCCATGCACACTATCGGGCACAGAGGAATCTCTTACCTCATTGTTTCGTTCCTTTTGAAGGAATCTTTCGATGACTGACTTTGCGTTGAGCTCAATGCTCGCCAACGCACTCTTAACAGCATTCAGTTCTTCCTCCTTCTTCTTCAACATATCCAACAACTCATCCCGAGTCCAACGAAGTCCTTCGTTGTCCGTAAGAAACCTACCAAATGCTTCCCTTAAGGCATGATCATTTGGAACCTTACCTACTACACCATACCGCACTACAACATTCGACTGATGACGACGCTGTTCCATATGATGCATCTCGACCGGCACGGTATACTCAAATTGTTGACAATCTTCGATGTACTCATGCAATCTGCAATCATCATAGAGGTAAATATAATCTGCTTGATCTATATACATCGGCACATCGGAGCGTGATGATCCCTCACCCGCTCTCCGTCCATGTGTCTCAACCGTGGTGTTATGCTGAGCGGATGCTTGACCATCTGCACGGACCAGCATGAAGAACGAAGAATATGTCAAGTGCAAAGTTAGATGACATTCTAACCCTTATAGCGCAATGTCCACGAGCAGATGGCAGATGCTAGGATGTGCACCACAGTGTTGCCTAAGTTTGGATGCACACTGATGGATCCACAGCATCAACGGCCCCTATCGATTATTGAGTCCTTCTCTGACTACATGTCCGCTACGCACTATTGAGCATAACGCTTGCTTTTACTCCACACTCGTCTACCCTCATCCCTCCAACAGCCGCTATCGATTATTGAGTCCTTCAATTTGACTGTGCAGACACACGGGTGTGAAGGGCTTGATTGCGGACAGAAAGGAGGGATGCCAAGGGGCCAGGACCGTGAAGTTCCGTGGCGGGGGGGCCGGCCTGCCTGCCTGCGTCCGTGCCTGCCTGCCTGCGAATTTTGGCCTGCCGCTTTGTCTGCCTGCCCGCTTGCTTGTTTGCCTCTCTGCCTGCCTCTCTGCCTGTCTGCCTGCCTCTTTGCCTGCATGGCTGCCTGCCTGTCTGGGTGCTTGCCTGCATACCTGCCTGTGTGTGTGCATGCTTGCATGCCTGCTTGCTTGCCTGCCTGTGTGACCGCCTGTGCGCCTGCCTGCCTGCCCTGCGCGCCTGCCTGCCTGCCTGCCTGCCTACCCGCCTGCCTGCCTGCCTACCTGCCTGCCTGCCTTCCTGCCTGCCTGCCCGCATGTTTGCCTACCGCCCTGCCCGCCAGCCTGTGTGCCTGCCTGCCTACCTGCATGCCTCCCACCCAACGTGCCTGCCAGCATGCCTGCTTGCTTGTCTGTCTGTCGGCCTGCCCGACTGCCTGCCTGCTGCCTGCCAACACGTGTGCCTGCCTGCCTGCCTGGCTACCAGCCTGTGTCCCTGTAATTCTGCTGTTTCTTATCACATGGCTTTATCATTATAGCTGTGATCGTGGGGATGAGGTCCTTGGTAGGAACCATCCCGACATTCAACTTAAATATATTACCTGCAGCTCCGGTTCTGAATTTTCATTGATTCATCAATTATCATTGCGTTGCGTTAGCAATGATAATCTTCACTCCTGAATGGCCTGCATAAAGTAAAGTACTTCCACCCCCGCCCCCCCTCCTCCTCCTCCCCCACCCAAAGCATCCTATTGCAGTTCTAAACTTCTATGGATTAATCAATCATTTACCAATTCAGCAAATGGTGATCTAGACTTCGCTCAGCAGTACTTTGCAGTTGCTTTCTGCATCGATGTGGTCAGGTACATGCCTCCAGTACTCACACTTTTGGGACAGATCCCGGCGGTAATTGTGGTCAGGTACATGCCTCCATCTAGTCCTGAATGGGACAGAACCCACCTGTAATTGTGGTCAGGTACATGCCTCCAGCTGGTCGTGAATGTGAATATTTTCCCGGACACCGACGGTGTCTCCTGTGATGAGCATCTGTAACGTGCACTCCAGATTCCTTGTGCTCATTTTTTCATATTCAGACAGACAAAAAAAGAAAAGTGAAAAATATTCACGTTCTCAAAGAAAAAAACATCTCATATTATGTGAATTCATTCCGACAAAAAAAAAAAAGACAAAAAACGCAACAAAACAAAACAAAAAAGAAAGTCTTTTTTTCTTTTTTCGTTTTTTTTTTCTCGGAATGGAGACGGCTTCGAGAAATAATCTCACCACTGAGCTGACCGGCCAGGCAATTCAGAAATATTTGGTTTTACTCATCAAGTTCCGTTATCTGGATTCCAGCTCCGGTCTGCATTTCAAAAGTTCATGGGTGTACCCCCTGAGCAGGCTTCTTGGGTACTTCTGTCTATCCCTCAAAATTGGAACGATACAGAGAAGATAAGCATGCCCCTCCGCAAGGAAAAAAAAGACGAAACGGACCATACTTCCACTGCTGCTACTGCTACTAAGACGACGATGGAACCACCTAAGCATGCCCCTCATCAAGTTCCGTTATCTGGGTACTTCCGTCTAGCTTAGCGTCCGCGGTGCAGGCGGTGCCAAAAAAAAAAAAAAAAAGAGGAATGGCAAACATCACACAGACTGCTCACATAGACTCAAACGGACTTGTATACAAAAACAGACTCAAAAGGTAGTAAAAAATATCCTCAAACTGACTCAGAACAGAATTGCTCAGACGAAAACAGACTGACAGAGTGAAAATGGACAGAAAGAAAGAAAGAAAGAAAGAAAGAAGAGAGAGAGAGAGAGAGAGAGAGAGAGAGAGAGAGAGAGAGAGAGAGATGCAGGATGCAGGCCCGGACTTTCTGGGGTCGGAGCATTGTAGCCGCTGCAGGCACTGCAGCAATCACTACTGGATCCACTACTACAGCACCTGCAGCAACAGCTGCTGAGGATTGCTGCAGCACTGTAGCAAGCGCTGTTGCAGGTGACCCTTTCTCTCTCTCTCTCTCTCTCTCTCTCTCTCTCTCTCTCTCTCTCTCTCTCTCACACACACACACACACACACACACACACACACACACAC